ATCTTACCCCCTTCACAAGGCGCTGGGTTCTTGCAGGTGTGGATGTGGTCTGGATGTTGTCCTGTGTCCTGTGGTCTCTATTTTAGGAAGATTTTTCTTTGTTATATTTTCATAGCTCTATGTGTTTTTGGGAGGAGATTTCCACTGCTCTACTCACGCCGCCATCTTGGCTCCCGCCTGATTACATAGGCTCTTTTAAATGTGCTTTGCTGGAACTTTTTGTAAGGAATTTCAGATTGAACTTTTAAAGGCCTCTTGAGGCCAGAAAGCCAAGCCAGACTTGCCATCAGGTTTTGCCTGCAGTACCTGTAGATTTGGGTGAATTCCTCTCTTCTCGTGGTCTCCAAGACATCTTGAGGTTCCTGCTCTTGCCAGGAAGTGACCTTCTTTACTCACCTGGTAAGGCTGCTGGGAACTCTGTAAGCAAGGTACCAGGCCAGTTCTTCCAAGGGGCTTTGTTGGCTTTATAAAGTTAATCTTAGTTTTTTAAAGTTGTCTGTTCATATCTGAGTTTACACACGTCTCTCAGGTATGACGTTCCAGTTAAAGCTTTGGTAATATAACTAGTGTTTCTAATTGGTTTTCTCACAAGGAAAGCAGATTCTTATTGAACTTGTGCAAATAAACATACTGCCATGAAATATAATAACAGAGTTTTTTTAAATTTTGGAGGGATCAGGTAGAGAGAAAGATAAAGTTTCAATTCTGCTTATAAAGGCAGTCATGTACTAAACTGTTGTCAGCTTAAGAGAAAAAGCTTAAAACACTTTATCATCAACATTTGAAACAGAAAGCCACAAAATCATCTTTAGTTTACTTAATCTTACGTAACTAATACTTGTTCTGCTGAAATCTAGTTCTTTACTAGCTTAAGAGTAATAAAACAGTGACTATAAATAATAAAAGACTTACAAATGACAATGGTTAAAGATCTGATGAGAGCTTACTGTAAGACAGTTGACATAAGGAAATTCTGATATTTCTGTAACACAAAACATTCAGTAACAAAGTTTAGCATTATTCTTTTTGACAGTGCTTTCTAGGTAACTAAGCAAGTAATTATATATCAGATAAATAAGCTAAATTAGCTAAATACTTTCTTTAATGAGAAAGTTACTCTGACATGTTCCAGGGGCCCTCTGGAAAATATCAGAGTTAACTAGAGGTAAAACTACCTTTTTTGAATTTGATTTTGGGAAGCTGTTAAAAGTTTTAAGGCACTTGCTTAAATAGGATTATAGGTTGCTATGAAGCAATACATATCTATTTAACTAGAATGACAACAAAATACCTCAAAGGCAAATAAAGAAGGTTACATAGTCATTAGCAAACTTTAGCTTTTAGTCCTTTTAATATTAAGATTTTATTTTCTTAAATACTCTGACAACTCATTGAGACTTTAAGCATGAGATACTGCTTTGATAAAACAATTAGAGAACTTTCTGCAATCTTTCAATATTAAGAGCAGACTAACAGGTAAGAAAACTTTGTCTTTTTAACTGAAAACAAAATTCTAATTTTGCTGTGTACTTGATACTGAGACTCATTTGCTTTAATTTAATATAGCATGACCATATTAAATTCTTCTATAAACTTTCTACAACATTTTTACATTTAGATTTCTCTCTCTAAATAAACAGCTGTACTTTAGAACAAAGTTACTTTCTTTTATCAAAAGATACGTTCTTTAGCATGCAGAAATGTTTTCTTTATTACTTTAAGTAGTTTTAATTAGAACTTAAAACTATTAATTACCTTAATTTTTAGTGAATACTGAGAAGTAGGCTATTATAAACTGTTACACTAGCATTCTTTGGATTGACAAATTTATGAACATTTTATAATTTCTGTTAACTATGAGCTTTACAACACAATCTCTCACTAAGCACAAAGTATATCTTTTTAACTCAGCAAAATTTTCAGGTTTTAGGTTACTATAAAGATTTCTAGGCTGTAGATAGGTATACACACTGTAACACACAATTAAAAAGGTGTTTACTTGCCACACTTATTTAGTTCACTCATTCGTAACAACTATGCTAGATTACTTACAAGACTTTTAATGAATATTAGACAAAGCTAAGCTTTTAAGCATTTTATTCTTAAAAGATTTAGCAGATAACATCAACTTAGGTAAACTTAGGCAGCTGATAACTACAAGGACATGCTCGCTTCAGCCAAACTCAAATTAGCATTAATGCTTAACATTTTTTATCAGATTTTCTGGAAGTTTTAGAATGCCTAATTTTCACAAGTGCTTGTTTTTAAATTAATTTTTATTAATACTATCTAGAAGTAGGAAAATGTTTTTCATCCATACACTTAGACACACAAACATACAAACTGAGATACGACTACAGTCAGCAACACTCCCCACACAAAAACATATACAAAGACAGACAAACTGATATAAAGACTTGAGTCACTGATATCTAATTGCTTTCCCTCTCTTTAGCTTCTTGTCTGTGGCTTCCGGAACTAGAGGGCAGGAGGAGCATGTTCTGGTGGGGGAAGAGGGCAGTGAAGAAGGAGATGGGGAGGAGGTGGTGCAGCCACCGGAAGAGGAGAGCAGGACAACGGCATGGTTGAGAATGTAGGACTTTAAGATGGTGGCGACACATATGAAGACAAAGGACTTAAAGATGGTGATGGAGAGAGGGGGAGGGGATTGCGAGCTACGATTTCAGATGGACCAGGTGAAACAGAGTTAGGAAGGGAAACAGACTGGGGGAAACTGAGAGACTCACTGGAAAATAGTCCACTCAGCAGAGAGCAGGCTGAGGTATCGGGTTGGGGAAGTAGGGGGCGGGGCCACCGGTGGCCAGTTGGAGCTCTGTGCTCATGCTCCTTCCTGGGTTTCGGCACCAAATGTAAGATAAATTCTAGCCAAAATAAGCAGGCAAAGAGAGGCAACAAAGGGCCAGGTAGTTTATTTTAACACAGATTCCCGGGTGATGTTCCACGGTCTGGCTATCACAGGCCAGGGAAGTCACACTCAGCAGGGCAGGCAGCGAGTTTTTAAAGAAGGTAGCAGGAGACAGAGCTTAGATTTACAGCAGTGTGAGGATTGGCTAGCTTAAGGCACATTTTTCATGTTGGGAGGGGGCAGCAGCCAGAGACTTTGGCACGTCATCAGTATCTGATGTGCTCACCCCTCTCCCCAGTGCCTTCAACCTTACATCTATTATATTATTTACAATGATATTCTTCATCAGTGTTATTCCAAAATTGTGATTCAGCTACTTCTGAAACAAGATCTATTTGCCTACTTATTTTCTCAAGGCTTGGATATTTTAGTCCACATACTTGCATACTTACAGGAATTCAAGGTTGCGTTCTTCAGGTGAAGGCAAGTACATAGCAACAGCATCTAACAAGGGCTGGACCCCTCTGTTTTTCAGGGCACTTCCACAAAGCACAGGTACTGCTGTCTGAGCCAGTGTTACTCTGTGAATTGCAGTCTGTAGCTACAAAGCAGAGATGTACTTAATGTGCAGCATACTGGTCTTGGCCAAAATCTCTCAGAATTCAACACTGCCTTTATTTATACTGCCTTATCAACCATGTAAAACAGCACCCCTCAGCACACTTCCATCATTCTTTAGGGACTTATTCTCCTTTATTTTTCTCTATAACATCAATAACTACAACTGGTATATCAGATAAGCATTTATTAGCTTATTGTCTGTCTCCCCAGATCCACTAGAATGTAAAACTCCTATGAACATTATAGTAAGTACCATGAAAACACTGCTAAATCCCAAGAAACTAGAAAAATCCTTAAAGTAAGTGCTTAAAAGTATTTCTTCAATAAATGAATTGATATACTTGTGATTTAATCCTGACAGTCACACAGGAACTGGTCAGAAATTTAAAATATGAGTTACAATTTCTTCAAATGAATTTAGATCTACATTAAGTAAAACCCAAAGTAAAATGAGAAACCAAAGTAGAAAAAAATTTTAAAGACCTCAGAAACCAGCTTAAATATGCTTAAAGCTACTGCTAAAGGAAATAGTACTGGGTCAATTTCACTCTAGATTGTAAGCTCTTTGAAAACAGAGAAAAATGTTGTGTGACCACAGGGCATAATAAACATTAAGCACAAAATTTCAAAAATTGTGGCATTTCATTCAAAAGAAAAAAAATCATTTTTTTCCACCTCTAATTTCAAATGGCTCAAAATTAATCTACAGATCTTGTATTTTCTTTAATTCTTTTCATGAAAAATAACAGAGTGAATTTTCTGGACCCCATTATACACATTACCACTTGCAAACACTTTGCTTGTTAACTCTTATGTTTCATAAAGGAAAATAAAGAGTAAGTTTGCCAAATTCATGGGCAAAGATCCCTGGCAGAAAAAAATAGAAATGCCTTGAAGAAATATCATAGTTCACTTACTATCAGTATTTTACTTGCCTAGTCTTTGGTTTAATGTATTTCAAAAGAAGAAAAGAAAAGAAAAGGCCTATAATGATTTTCCATTAAAAATTTTAACAGATTCAGAAAAAAAATATTCTGAGAAAAATGTGATCATTGTAGTCTGAAAAAACAGTAAATTTTAAGTACAAAATTTTTACCTGTGATTTCCCTAAAAATACTTAGAGAAATGATCACAATGAAGAGAAAAGACTGCACAGAATAAACAATTAATTTACTTCACTCAATAGAGGTAAAAAAGATTCATTATTTCTAACTTTGTAAAGTACATCTGAAAATAGTAAATCGTTGCCATTACTTAGTACCTCTAGTGGCTCTATCTTACTTAGTGTTCTAATTTTTAAGTGAGCATTTTCTAAAGGTATGAAAAGTTGGAAAACAAAACAAAACCCCTATAACAGAGAAATCAAGCCACATCCAATTAGTAAAACTTGGTTAAAGTAAATGAGTATGGAAATTTACCTTTTCAGCTGGTAGCAAATCAAAATTTTCACTAAATTCTCCTAAAACCAGATCTGCAAATTCATCGTCCAAATCTGCAACCTGTAAAGAAAGACTTTATTTACATCTGTAACTTTCATTTATTGTCACAACTATTCATGTAAGTCTTAGTACCATAAATATACATTATCCAATATAATGTTGAATAATGCAATAAAATACATACAGTATCATCCCATTTATATAAAGTTGAAAAACATGGAAAACTAACTTCTCTAGAGATACACACATTTGTAGTAAACTATAAAGAAAAGCACATGAAAGATAAACACTACAATCAAGATAGTGGTGGTGGGGAGTAAATGATTAGCAGAAGGGAGAGAGAGATGAACAGCAAGTAGTGCATGGAGACTAAAGTGTATTGCTAATACTCTATTTCTTATGTTGGGTGGTGCATACATTAGTGTTCATTTTATTATTCATTATACTTTACATATTCCATATGTAACTTCATATAAAGTTTCATAATAAATAAAATACTTTTTTAAAGTTTCTAAAGATTTCTGCAATTTTGAACTCAAAGTATTTATTTTACTTGTTCAATTAAGGCATTCCTTGCTTCAGTTGTCTCCTTCAGCAATTGAGGATCACTCATTTCCAAGAGTGGTTTTCTCTCAAAGTCTTTTCCATCATCTGAATTGGGGTTCCAAAGAAATTTTTCTTTACTTACTACATCCACCACTCCTCTGAAAGTTTTGGCTTCACCAATTGGCAACTGTAAGTCAGAGTGAGACTGACATTACTAAATGATACCCAATATTAGAACTACACTGGTGATAAAATTTATCTTTCCCCACTTTCCCCAAAATGTCTATTATCATTAGTACAGTAATCTATACCAATCTCAACTTCTTCCAAAAAGGATTTCACACAGCTTCATCAATAAAATTGATGAGGAAAACTGAGACGGAGCTGTTGCTATCAATCAACCAACCTGTAAAAGCAAAGGCTTTGCCTTCAACTTCTCTTTGATGCTTTCAACTGCATAGTTAAAACTGTAGAAAGCAAAATAATTATAGTTAAAAATGTTAAGATTCTTAAAACAGGTTTAAGAATGTTCTTTAACATTATAACCCTTTTTATTGCCCCTAATGTTCACCATTTAAGAGTTTTCCATATGACAGCATCTTGAATATATTTTTAATTCCAATTTCAGATAATAATGATTGAGTACCATAATCCTGCCACACCAGTATTTAGGGTATTATTATTGTGAGCGTCACTTAACCGAAGTTTGAGGTTAAGGTTAACTGAAGTGACCAAGGTCACATGATAAACTGCTGTTCAGATTCAAATATAAGATTTGTGATTACAAGTCAAGGATTCTTTCTTCTAACAGCTACACTGGCTATCTATCACACATGCCTATCAGCTTTCTTCCAAGAGCCAGCTTGACTATTTCTTCTATACTTTTATCTTAGGCCTTCTTAATATCATATGCTACACTGTTTATTTCTGTGCTAACACTGGGGTCAGCTACCTGTGGAACACATGCCATCTCCGGCACATGGGCTGATTTATACATAAATGCAAATCATTCTAGTTCCAGTTTCTCTGAGTACCAGCCTAGTATCCAGTCATCTCCCTCTCCATCACCACAGGTGCTGTTAGTCGGTAAAAGCAGTACTTTCATCTATCTCAAGGAACTCCAAACACAAGAGGGTCAAAGCTTGAGTGTAGCATATTTTGAGGTTTGCTGTGCTTTTACTCATCAAGACAAAAGTCCTCTCAACCAACAGCCTTAGAATTACTGCAGAGTTACATAAATGCAAAGCATACTCTGTGGTTTTAGGGAGACGGATAGTTTGTTTTATATTTGCTACTCTCACACAACAGGCCAGGATCTCTCCCTATCTCAGTTCCCCAGAATCTCTTATATTCCTGATTCTCTCCCTTTCCTTCAAAAAACTACTTGGATTTTTCTCCAAATCCTTCAGAGATTCTTGATCCTCTGAATTCTGTTCTCAGAACAATATATCCATTTTAGATTATCACTAAGTCCCTGAGCACTGCCAATGTATCAGCATTAACTCTTTTGCCCTAATATGCAGATCTTAAAACATCTACATTCTTCTTTCTCAGTTCCCTTTTATGGAAAGCATATTTGCTCAGTAGCTAAAGAAAACCAGTGGACAAAGAAGAACATTGTTCTCTGAGGCAACTGCAGGAAACAATTCTCTACTTTCAACCTTTAGCAATAATGGGGAGCACCATAACCTTCAGTAATACAGGGACTATACCATACACCTCTAAACAGAACCAGTAGAATCCACAAGACATCACTTTCTCAGGACCCTAAAAAATGGGATACAGCCTCTACATTACAATCAGGATGCATCATCATCTATCAGCTCTCTAGTAATCCTACACTGTTACTTAACCTACAAATTAAGCTGCTTTGATTTTTTTTTTAATGGGATTGAATTCATATTTCCTTGAATATTCATATTTTTTAGGGAACAGATGTTTCTAAATTTAAGTTACAGTCCATTAAAAGCTCAAATTGTATTCTTACTTTGGTAAAGCCAAAGAAACACTTTAGTACCTTGCTCCAGTTTTGTCCATCTTGTTTAAAAAACAGATTCGAGGTATCTTGTGTTTATCAGCTTGCCTCCACACTGTGAGAGTTTGTGCCTAAAGCAAATAATGAAAAAAAACACAAAAATTACTATGCTACTCTATATGAAATAAACAGGTCTAAGAATCTATTACAACAGAGAATCGGGCCCTATTCTAACAGAATTAGTGCCACTCTACTTACACTTCTAGAGTCACACTCTTTTGCTATCAGACTGACTCAGCTAAGAACATGGTAAGTGTGCTTCAAGCAAAGGGGAATTAGGTGAACTAGGTTACCACAAAAGAGAATGAACAGCTGGGAGGTACTGAGAGTCATGGAAAGATTTAATCAAGAATTGGAAGACCTACTTTTTCATTGGCTTCACGTTACCTAGTACAAGTCACACAATATTGAATTTGTTTTCTGATCTGTGAAATAGGGACTTCTGCCTTAATTCAAACAGTTGTTGTGATGTAAAAAGAACAAATAGAGGAGTATATGATAAATATGCTATTGTGATAATCATGTGTTTATTTTGTATATATGAGTGTTCATGTGACCTGCAGGGGACTTAAGAGGGGAAAAAGAAGCCAATACCTGTATTTATAAGTTGGAATTGTCATATGCTTTTCTGTTTGACTTCTTTTTAATTCTACTTTTTAAAATTAAGGTATCATTGACATACAATCTTGTGAAGGTTTCACATGAGCAACATTGTGGTTACTATATTCACCCATATTATCAAGTCCCCCCCATGCCCCACTGCAGTCACTGTCCATCAGCATAGTAAGATGCTATCAAGTCACTACTTGTCTTCTCTGTGCTGTACTGCCTTCCCAGTGACCCCCTACATTATGTATGCTAATCATAATGCCCCTTAATCCCCTTCTTCCTCCCTCCCCACCCATCTTCCCCAACATCTTCCCTTTGGTAACCACTGTCACTTCTTGGAGTCTGTGAGTCTGCTGCTGTTTTGTTCCTTCTGTTTTGCTTTGTTGTTATACTCCAGAAATGGGTGAAATCATTTGGCAATTGTTTTTCTCCACCTGGCTTATTTCACTGAGCATAATACCCTCTAGCTCCATCCATGCTGTTGCAAATGGTAGGATTTGTTTTCTTCTTATGGCTGAATAATATTTACTGTGTATTTGTACCATATCTTCTTTATCCATTCATCTATGATGGCCACTTAGGTTGCTTCCATATTTTAGCTATCATAAATAGTGCTGTGATAAACAGAGGGGACCATATGTCTTTTTGAATCTGCATCTTGTTTTCTTTGGGTAAATTCATAGGAGTGGAATTACTGGGTCAAATGGTATTTTTATTTTTAGTTTTTTGAGGACCCTCCACACTGCTTTCCACAATGGTTGAACTAATTTACATTCCCAACATCAACAGTGTATGAGGGTTCCCTTCTCTGCATTCTCGCCAGCATTTGTTGTTGCTTATCTTTTGGATGTTGGTCATCCTTACTGGTGTGAGGTAGTATCTCACTGTGGTTTCAATTTGCATTTCCCTGATAATTAGCAATGTGGAGCATCTTTTCATGTGCCTGTTGTCCAACTGAATTTCTTCTTTGGAGAAGTGTCTGTTCAGATTGTCTGCCCATTTTTAAATTGGATTATTTGCTTTTTAGGTGTTGAGGTGTGTGAGTTCTTTATATATTTTGGATGTTAACCCCTTGTCAGATATGTCGTTTATGAATATATTCTCCCATACTGTAGGATGCCTTTTTGTTCTACTGATGCTGTCCTTTGCTGTACAGAAGCCTTTTAGTTTGATGTAGTTCCATTTGTTCATTTTTGCTTTTGTTTGCCTTGCCCATGTGTTCAGGAAAAAGTTGCTCGTGTTTATATTTAAGAGATTTTGCCTGTTTTCTTCTAAGAGTTTTATGGTTTCATGACTTACATTCAGGTCTTTGACCCATTTGAAGTTTACTTTTGTGTATGGAGTTATGCAATAATCCAGTTTCATTCTCTTACATGTAGCTATCCAGTCTTGCCAACACCATTTTTGAAGAGGCTGTCATTTACCCATTGTATATACATGGCTCCTTTATAGTATATTAATTGGTCATAAATGTGTGGGTTTACATATGGGCCCTCTATTCTGTTCTATTGATCTATGGATCTGCTCTTGTGCCAGTACCAAATTGTTTTGATTACTGTGTCTTTATAGTAGAGCTTGAAGTTGGGGAGCATAATCCCTTAATTCAACTTTTTATACTCATTAAGTATAAATAGTTTGAGTCTATTATATCTGTGCTACTGGAGTCTAAAAGCCCTGAAGGAGAGCATAAAAAGCCTAATGTGCTGACATTAGTTAAAATAGAAGCCAATTTGTAATTTGATTGTTTTGTCAGATAAAACTTATATATAACAAAATACACAGATCTTATGTAGCTCAATGAGTTTAGATAAATGTATACATTTGTATAACTACTACCCCAAGCAAATATAGAAATAAGAAATTTTTCTTAAGTTCCACTCCCAATAAGCAACCTGCTCTAATTTCTGTCATCATAGATTCATACTGCTTATTCTTGAACCTCATATAAATAGTATGGCTACTTTCACTCAACATAGTGTTTCTGACATTCCTTCATGTTGTTGGGTATACTACTTTATTCATTTTTAGTGCTAAATTTCTTTACATAAAAGTACCAGTTTGTCCTATCCTCTTGTGGTTGTGCATGTGGGTTGTTTTTAGTTTGGGGCTATTAGAAATTTAGCTGCTATAAACATTCTGAACAAATCTTTGATGGAAAATTGTTTTGACTCCCTTGGAAAAAGCTATGGTAGCAGAATTGCTGGGTTAGGACAGGTGTATATTTAACTTTATAAGATACTTTCAGATAGTCTTCCAAAATGGCTGTAATATTTTAAGATTCCATCAACAATGTATAAGAGTTCCAGTTGCTCCACATCCTCAACCAACATTTACCATCATTACCATCATTTTTTTCAATTTTAGCCACTCTTGTGGATGTGGAATGGTCTCTCTGTAATTTTAATTTGCAGTTCCCTGATGACCAATGAGACTGAGCATCTTTTCATGGGCTTACTAACCATTCATATGTCTTCTTTCACATGGTGATTTCTGACTATTTTTTTTATTGGGTTGTTATTTTTTATTATTGATTTGTAATTCTTCATATCTTCTGGAAGCAAGTCTTTGGTCATTCATGTGTATTGTGAAAATTTCAACACATACTTCCCAAGACATTCCTATGACATTCTCTCACTATTGATAATAGTATTATATCATCCTGGAAATTTAACATATGCATGTTATTTTCTCTAATATTACAAATTTTCTCAAAGCCTACAGCTTAACACCACTGCTCCCCTTTTATTTTAAAGTTTTAATAAGAAGTAATTTTGATAAGGTCCAACAAGTCAACTTTCCCTGTTTTATCCTTCTTGTGTCATCTCTAAGAAATTGGTACCTACTACCGTCAAGATTTTGTAAATATTGCATTTTTCCTCTAGAAGCTCTAAAGATATAGCTCCACACTATATAGCTCACAGGTTTCTCACATTTTAGCATGTTTTCTTAAGAAAGTCACTGACTACCTTTGAAAAGTATCTTTTTAAAAATGTTTACATAATGAAAGTCTCTCTAGAGCAAAAGGAAGGTTTGCTTAAATCCTGGAAGATAAATGTCTCCCTCCAAAGCAAAGAGCAGGCAAGATATATAAAATATATAAATTTTATATACAATGGGAAATTAGGGACCAACACAAGAAAATGCTGATACTCTGGCTATTTCGATTTCCATAAACATAAAGTCCCTTTATCTCTAACTCAGTAGTCTTGTGTCTTCTCCCAGAATTCATAAACAATGTCAGGCTAATCATTAGCTTGAAAGTAAGGCAGAATCTCAGGGCCTTCACAGTTCTCAACACTAACATTCATATTTCCTACAGAAAAGCAAACTTTAATTTCCTTTTACTATGAAATAGCTCAGATCACATATATATAACATTCTCAATATTATATTACAACTTCCTTTAACTATAATTTGACTTATATGAACTTACCAAATAAAGGGTTATAGCTAAACCTGATATTCTAGTTTTTTAAAAATCATGCTGTTTTATCTTCACTTTACTTTGGCAATATTTTTACCTCCACTCCAGCAGAGGCATCAAATACAGCTACTGCACCATCTAACACTCTGAGGCAGCGCTCAACCTCCAAGGTAAAGTCCACATGACCTGAGAGAAAAAGATGACAAATGTAATATTGAAAGTCTTATCAAAAAAGGAAAATATGACCCAGCAAACCCACTTTTGGGTAGGCATCCGAAAGAACTGAAAGGAGGATCCTGAGGAAGATATTTGCATACCAAGTTCATAGCAGCACTTAAGATGGAAAATTTCATATTTTTTACCATAATTAAAAAATACACATACACAAAAAAAGCCTCAATGATACATTGCTAGAATAGCATCATACCTGGTGTATCGATTAGATTTACTCTATAGCCCTTCCAATCAAATGTGACAGCAGCAGATTGAATTGTAATGCCTCTTTCTCGCTCTTGAGCCATGAAATCTGTCACTGTGTCTCCATCATCAACATCTAATCAGGAAAAAGATGAAATAATTAGGCTTAATAGCAAATATATGCTTTTGGTATTTGATATCTACCTAACAGTTCAATTTGCTTTAAGAAAAAAATATTCATATATTTGGTTTAATATTTAAGCCCTTATTCTTTCTTTAAATAAATCCTTGCTCCAGGGAAAGCTTTCACAGTAAGATTAGTAATTTTCCCCAAAAAATAATTTTTCTGTAACAACTAAGATTAAAATCTGTTTAAATATTTTAATTTTACTGTACTATGTATTTCTTTCATTTTTTTCCTAGTTTAACTTTCATTATTCCTTCTTTATCTGACATTCTTCACGCCTGATCTTTTGACAGGAGGCAGAACAGCACACTGTAAGAGCACAAAGAGACCTAGATTCAAATCTCAACTTCAATACTTATTATTCTATGATCTTGAGCAAGTTACTTAACCTAGTTTGTCAAATCAAGCTAATATATATACACACACACACATATAAACTACCTAGCTTAGTAAATGATACATAAATGGCAGTTACATGGAACAAAGTAGATGAAAAAATTCCTCCAAAGTAAAAATTTCCTTTACAAACCCTTCTCATTACTAAATTTTCCAAAAAAGTGGTTTATTTGTACAAATGCAGATAAAGTCTTGGCAGAGCTTCTACAGCATAAAGTCTTGGATAAAGTTCTTCCTGACTACCAAAAAGGTTACTCAAATTACTCAACAGTAAAATTTCTGAATTATGCATTTTATTCTGATTAAATCTGTACAGTAAAAGAAATGAGAAGGAACTCATCTTTACCAACCAAAATTTGAGATCACAAGTTTTCATGGCCTCATACTACCACTACTTCAGTCAGTATTAAACCCCTAAAATGTTAGTTTCCCCTTTCCTGTTTGTGTGTATGTACATATCCATATAAAAATACATACATATGTACCAACAGATGGGGAAATAAGGAGAAAAATGTTTCCTGTCAGCAACTCAAAATATCTCTGTTAAAGAGTTATACTAGTGTTGCACAATACTAGTATTCGCAACATAACTAACCAAGAAACCAAACATCATTAGGGAGACAAAGACCAAACAACTAACCAAAAGTTCTACTAAGGCAGTTAAGTTTTTAAAATACTTATACCAAGATTTTTCACAATGATAAAGATCTTTATATCTTGTTATCTCTACTTACACGACTAATAAAATCAACCCTGAATCAACAAGTCCTGTCATGATTTAGATATTTCTAGGCTTCTGGCCTGAACAAGGAAAGTACTTCAAAAGATATCTTACATATACATGCAACGGAATATTACTCAACTTTAAAAAAGGATATTCTGACTCATGCCACAACATGATGAACCTTGAGGACATTAGGCTAAGTGTTAAATAAACCAGTTACAAAAAGACAAATACTATATGATTCACTTAGATGGGGTACCTAGAGTAGTCAAATTCATAGAAGGAGAAAACAGAACGGAGGTTTCCAGGAATTGAGAGGAAGGGGAAATGGGGAGTTGTTACTTAATGGGTATAGAGTTTGGGTTATGTAAGATGAAAAAGTTCTGGAGATTGGTTGTAAACAGTGTGAATATATTCAACACTACTGAACTGTTACCCTTAGACATGATTAAGAGATGGTAAGTTTAATGTTACATGTTTTTTACCAGAATTTTTAAAAAGGTAACTTGGGCCCTCCTCATCCCTCACTTCAGGAAACTGGGGATGTTAGGGAAAAGTTCCTATCAGATCTGGGACATAACAGAGGAAGTCTAACCATGTTTCATGTTTTCCTGTGCCTTACATTCCCATCTACAGAGCAGTAATTCTATGAGATATTCATGTATTTATACATTCAGGAACATATCATCATGAAGAGTCTAATCCTAGGTGTTCTTTTCCAATTCCAAGGGTCTAGAAAAATAGTCCTCAATAGAGTACATTTCAAAATCACTGCAGTTTTTGAAAAATTCATTTCCACTTTTGGCATTATGGACCTGATGATCTTCATCTCAAATTTCAAAATGAATTGTTTGTCAGAGATAAAGGTACTTCATGACCAACGGGTTAATTCATCAGAGAAACATAACAATTATGAATGTGTGAGTCAGATACAGAGTTTCCAAACACATGACAAAAAAATACAGCCATCAAAGCCACACCACAGACTTGCTGAATCTTAATTTCCCAATGTGTTGGGGCACTGTTATTTAAAAACAAAACAACTACACGGGGATTCAAATGTACATGCCTGGTCAAGAACCACAGTTTTTGACATGTTATAATTAAAAAATAAATTTAAAACTTAGGTAAATACTGCTACTGTGGATTAAGGGTTAACAAACTCTTTCTTTTTTCTGAATCTGAACTCTGGTTAACTTCCTGTTCTTCTAGAAACCAGAAAACAGAAGTATATCAACTATGTTCCTAGGCAACCTATCTTAAGGAAAAAATAATTTCTGATTGGTAAACTATATCTGAATTTGGAAGAACTATAAATGGAATACCTGATAAAGATACAAAGCTTTAGGCTTCCCTGAGTTAGGTACAGTATGTCCCTTGTGAAGAACAATAAGATGAAGACAGCCCACACAGCTGTAACAGGAGAAACTCATTCCTATGGGGCATGAGTCTTCTAAGCCTGGGTGGTGCCTTGAATCTTGTTACCTTGCAACTAAGGTATCACTTCTGGGTGGCCGAAGGAGATAGTTCCCAGATAGCTATGTGGACTGCTACAGGAACTCCTGTAGAAGTAATACCTATTGCTGATCTGTCGGTCATATGCCCCTGTCCAATAGCCTTCTGAGTAGACCAATGCCAACTGTGACGCAAGACAGTCCTAGGAGTCTGAAGGTTTAGTTGAACCTAAGAAGCCCCTTTGGTGGGTATTACAACTACCTTATCTTTATATTGTGGTTTAGACATCAGTGCCTCCATGTCAGACTCAAGACCTCTAGGTTGACTACTTAACCACAATATTTTCCAATGTAGTTTTTGCTGGCTGGAGAAGAAGGTGGGGGGTGGAGGGGGCTGTGAGAAATCCCATTCTAACCTCCCAGTGATCTTGTATATCCAGAATAGTACAATATTCTTTCTGTGGTGGTAGTTTTGCCTGCGTCAATATGAGCCATAATTCCAATGTTACGGATTCTGTTTAAAAGGGAGAAGGAAAGACATGTATTATATGATGGACATTACTAAAATTGTAAAAGCTAAATATCTATGCTGTGCAAATTTGAAAGCTTTTGGTATTCTTTAATTTATACAATGGTGTAAAAACTAGAAAGAAGGAAACCTATCCATACCACATTACTCTGAAAAATAGCTGAGTAACAAAAGAGCTAACTACAATCTTGTGAATCTTATTTCTATGAAAAGTGTGCTGTTGCTACATTAAAAATATTTAGCATTGAATTGAGAAAAGAAAATAGCTTTTTAGATACCAACAAACATCTATTTATAATTAACGAGGGCAAAAGTCACAGAAATTAGAGCATTACGAACAATGCTAAATTAAGCTCATGAGAGAAACCTGTAATTTTCATGGTAGCCTATGGAAAAGACAGATCGATGATGGTACTTACTTAGCCATAGGAGGATTGATGATGGAATGAAGGGATTTGATATCATCTCCTATTAAACCTAATGAGAGGAGGATTAAAATTGAACTGTTACATTTCAGAAATTTTCCTTTAATTTATAAGTAAAAGAAATTTAAATAATTTTAAGTAAATACTATAATTCCAATTAAAGTAAAATAAAAGCTAAATAAAACTCTCACTCAGCTAAATTTTATTTTCCTGGAATCTCTAAAGAAAAGGCTGTGGATGACAATATAAACTTTGAACGTCAATTTCTAGAATCAAATCCCTATAAAAATATAGATTTAGCCCAACTCTGCCACCTTCTACAATTCTATAATAAAGTATAAAATTAGAATGAATGTTCATAACAATAATCTAACAGCACTAGTAGATCTTGAACCAAAGAAAAAAAAATAACATGTACAGTCCTGTAAACCTGCATTGCCAAGGCCTGAAGAGCTAAAAGTGGTCTCCGTATCAGCTGACAATGAATTTTTGTACAATTTGGAACCCATTTTCCCCCAGCAATCCCAAGGACATAATATCTTTACAGATAGCCTGGGAGATATCACTGAACAGAAGCTATAACCACCTAATATTTCTAAAAGGCAATATTCTAATATTGGAATAAACAAAGTCCATCATGACTTAGTCCATGCTTACCATATATTTCATTAATAATATTAAGCAATGATGCAGTTACATATATAAGGTTAATCTGTACCTTCTTGCTATTTAAACTAGTCCTCCCTTTCTGTAATAAATTAAGAAGAATTCTATTATATTTTGAGAACTCCATAGAAGTTTGAAGACTGAAAAGAAATCTGCTGGTAGGAATGTTAATTGCTGCAGCCACTGTGAAAAGCAATATGGAGCCTCCTCAAAACACTAAAAATAGAAATACCATTTGACTAAATAATTCCACTTCTAGGATTTACCCAAAGAGAACAAAATTCCTGATTCAAAAAGATACATGCTCCCCTATGTTTACTGCCACATTATTTACAATAGCTAAGATATGGAAGCAACCAAAGTGTCCATCAACAGATGAATGGATAAAGAAGATGTAGTACACACACACACACACACACACACACACACACACACACAGGAATATTATTCAGCCATAAAAAGGGAAGAAATCCTGCCATTTGCAACAACATGGATGGACCTAGAGGGTATTATACTAAGTGAAATAAGCCAAGTGGAGAAAGAAAAATCCGTATGATTTCACCTTCTCGTGGAATATAAAAATGAAACAAAATAAACAAAATAGCAGTAGACTCACAGACACTGAGAAGTGACTGGTAGTTATTATGGGGGATGGGTTCAGATGGGTTGGGGGGAGGGTTGGGGGGATAAAAGGGCAGAAAAATTCTCTATCATAATGTAGGCTGGTCACAGGGATGGCAGTACAGCTTGGAGAATATAGCCAATGGTTCTGTAATATCTTTCTGTGTTGACAGATAGTAACTGCACTAGTGGGGTTGAGGATTTAATAATATGGGTAACCTGAAACCAATATAAAATTATGTATCAACAACACTTTAAAAAAAAAAGATAATCTGTACTACTACAGATAAATGTGCATAGGCAAAATATAGAAACCTAGATATACATTATATATCAATAATGCAGGCTGCTAATTTCACATGCCCTTACAAGTTACACAGCCAATCAGTATTTCTACTCCATTATTCTCACATGACAAATGAGAACACCAACCAAATGGAACTAGTTTCATCAAGTATCCCATATGCTTGCTTACTTCAAATACAGAACAGACATTCAGAATTAGGTAGTCAATTTCTTAGCCCTCCAGCTTTTTATAGTCATATTACCTAAACTATTCCAGATAAATATTTAATCAAACTATTCTTAAGAATCTTCAAAATACATTATTCTGGAACTCTCTATTGGCAGAAAAGACTTTTGTATAAAAAATAGAAATGGACTAGAAAATCAATATTTTACAGCAAGAGCACTCTACAAGTAGCTTCACCTGCTAAACTCTTGAGCCATCTACTGAAGTCACCCAATCCTTCCCTTTGTTCAGTTCATTAGGATGGCCAGCAGATAAGAAGTACAGGTCTACTTGTGTTCCCTCCTTGCATCTAACAGAATGCTCCCAATTCCTAATAATCTCAAGGAAACAGTCAAGAAGTAAAAAGGAGTCACTGTTTTCAAAATGGTTGGAGACCCCAAATATAAAAAGGAGATGGTTGCAAATGAGAAAGATGGGAGGTGGGATATGGAAAAAGCAAGCAGGCAGTTTATGTAAAATGAGAGGAATCAATATTCATACCTGGTAGAGAACTGTAATTTCTTCCAAGAAGCACATGTGGGTGCAATCTTTTTAAACTTGCTCTTATTTTAGAGCAACACATATTCTAGTGAGGAGAAAAAGAAATGACATTAATTTTATTTTCACATGACTTATTAAAGTAGCTTTAGCATCCTAACTATGCTTTGTCAGGGGACAAAATACTTTGAATCCCCTTAAAGTAGTCCCGACTTATAAAGTCCAATTCTTTTAAAAAGTGACGATCCAATATTATACTACAGTAAAGAATTAAGGATAAATTAACACTCATATACTATTTTCAACTGACCTTAGATGATGGTTCTGCTAGACTTGCAGCATTCACATCATGAAAAACTTGTTTGAAAGACAAATTCTTAGGACCCATTCCAAACACGAGAATCAGAAACTCTGGGAATGAGGCCAGAACAATGTGTTTTAACAAGCCCTCCAGGTGATTCCGATAGCTTCAGCTTGAGAACCATGACCCTGAAGTTTCCAGTGAGCCAGAAAGGTTAAATAAAGTCTCTCAGCCTTGGCTATTCCTTGGTTCTCTTCTACAGCTGCTAAGAACTGGGGTGGTCATGAACTCTAAAACATTAGCTGTTTTCAGGATTCATACTAGTGGCTACACATTAGAATCACGGGAATAGCTTTTTGGTTTGGAAAAGTTGGGGGAAATATGGACTGATATTTTTTAAAGTTTCCCAGGTTATCTTCTAATGTTCCCACACAGAGGCTGAATATTCTCCATCCCAATTTATCCCTTGATATACATTTAACGGCTGTGAATATATTTGGAATTGTTACAGTGGTGGTGTATGATTTTGGGCTGCCACAATCTGCCTTTTATGCATGCCTATGCCCTCTATATTATTTCTACATTAGTTACCAAGGTTCTGGCACTACAACACTAATTATCCTAAGAAAACATTTCAAGAGTCGAAAAGAGACTCCTAGCTATTTATATTTCCACTGTGTTATAGCCAGGGCCAGACAGTATCTCTCTAAGAGAGGGTGTGCAGTCTGAAAGCAGCAGCAATGAAAATACTTTAGAAAAACTGTGCAACTCCTTGAGCCACTAATGACCTCAACATGTAATAAAGAAATACTCTTCAAAATGCTGCACAGGTGATTTTAATGTAGCAAAATGAATTCACAGACTAATGATAAAGCATGCTTCCTCTTGGTAACAGGTTCTCCCATATTCCATTAAGAAACTGCTGAAGATACACTATTATGACACATATTAGGCCTTTGAGAAGTAATAACTGAAGTTGTTGAAGTACATTTAATTTTACAAGGAAGGCTTACATTAATGTGCAAGATGGATATTTTCTTATGACTCACTGCAAATTTCCTCAAGTTGGACATCATCGTGGCCCTCTAAATTGTTATTCTCTGAAAAAGATATATACAAAATTATAAAACTAAGTTTATGTATTACATGTCAATAAGACATATGTAAGCAAGGCATATGTGATAGATATGGTAAAAAAAGTATTACTTTTTAAAAGAACAACATCTTTAGCTATCAAAGATTGTACCATTCAGAAAATGAAAATTCTGACTGAGAAATAAAGTTCTCAAGCTTAAATTTTTTCAACATGCTTTAATTCATCAAGAAAGATACTAAAGATACTGAATTAAGCATAGAAAGGTTAAGCATCTACATGTTGATTTGGTAATTTCTCACTGATACTGTAATTTTTTGGTTTATTTACTCTCATTTTTCTACTACAAACATGTAAAAAATCATGTAAAAACACACAAAAGTCCTCTTCTGTGATTACAGAACTAAGCATCTTGGGTTTAAACACTTACTAAATATTCTATTTCAAGTACACTATCAAAACTATGAAAAATGCATGGAAGCATCTGAGACTTTGGGGAAGCAGGGAGACAAGTAAACAGGTAAGTTAAACCATTGTGCACTATGGTATGTGAACAGGCATGTCAAAACTCATGATTCTTCCTAAATCTGCTCCTCTAGCTTATCTTAAAACAGAAATATTCACTATTCTTATTTAGAAGACACAAATCCTCTGGATTTTATTTCCTAAATATATCTTGAAATCCATTCCCTCTTCTTCTTTTCCAATGCCAAAGTTCAAGATGTTGTAAAAGTTTGCATGGTAAGATTCTGAAACAGAATAACAAATTCTAACAGAAGAGGACACAAAAAGCTCACTAACGTGGCTTGATTCCACATTGTAATTAACCTTTAAGAAACTACCAATTCAAAGCATGTTATAGCATCTAAGATGGTCTACAATTTTCTGAATAGACTTTTAAAATACTCCTCCCTTTCCCAACTACATACATGTATGAGGCTGGATTTTCTTCATATACTTCAACCGAAAATAAAATACATACATATGCAGAGTAACATTAAATACAGATGCTGATATGTCAGCTGTTTTTCATTATGCGACACATTAAAGAGACTTGCAAAATTGTAAAGCAATATAAAACACTCTCCAAACTAAATTATTTTTGTTTTGGAAAATACAGGTATTTTTCATAAAACTAATTACTTATATTAACATTTAATAGATTTATTATTTTTAAATGAATTACTAAAATATTTTAAGGTTTTAATTTCTAATTTTTGAATGTCAATTATAACCCACATAAACAAAACTCTGTGGAGCTCTGAATCATTTTCAAGAGTGTGAAGGGTTCCTATAAACCAAAAATTTTGAAAACTTATTCTAACACTGTTTCCCCAAGTGAATGTCCATGATTACTAGGTTGTAGACAAAAAAATTTACTAAATGAATATTAGAAAAAAACAGCCAATAAATCCATGACTTTGTAGACAGTGTTAAGATGAAGTTTATTTACATGAAAATGTGAATTAATATAAGGAATAAATAGTATTAAGTAAATACAACACAGGCCAACAGTCATATGTAATCAGTCATTAAAGGTAGTATTCAAATCACTAAATCCATTCTTTACTCATATCTTCAAATAACTTCATCTTGTCAGTCACTTCCCTACTTAAAAACTTTTAAAGGTTCTTAATACAACAAATGTGTCCCCAGCTACCTGCATAGCTTTATACTCACCTACTCCCTACTCCATACCAGGGAGCTCTAGCCAAAATTCCCCAAACACCATGCTCTGAAACCTTCACTCACACCTTTCCAGGAAATGTTGTCACTGCCAGAGAGCAGTCCTAGAATCCCCAAAGTCCCATACCTGGTAAATTTCTATTCAATCTTCAAGCCCCACCTTGGAAGACTTTCTGAATTTCCTAGAAAATTTTAATACTGCCTTCTCTGTGTTCTCTTAACACTTGGAAAGCATATTTACTCATGACAAATATGACATTTACAGGTTAGGTCCACTACTGTGAGTGCCCCATCTCCTACCAGCAATGCCTAGAACAATGCCTCATTTTTTTGACCTATAAAGTCATTTATGGCCATCCACTGATTTTCCTTTTCCCCATGGGTCAATGATCTTCAAGGAAAATGATTTCCTACTACTGCCATAAAGTGAGTTTTCAATTAAGGCCCAGTCCTCAGTAGACCTTGTAAAATACACAGGCACTACTAAAAGCTTTCAATTCATGATGGCATAAGAAGGGCAGTAATGACCAAAAAACAGGTAAATACCCATTCTGTACTATTAGCAACCAATTACACTACCAACAAACAAAAAGAATCCATAGACTATTAAAAAAAAATTAGTGGACTATCATGCCTGTAAGGCTTACTACACAAAATAGGAATCATGGGACACTAAAGGACAATCACAAAACACATTAGTATGCAAGCAGAATTGAAGATGATGTCACTGAGGATCAAGTAATAAAAGAGAGCCTAAAGCATCAAGTTAAAGTAGCCTGTGTTTGCATGCAGTATTTGTTACCATACTTAGCAATTACTTCGAAATCAGAAACTTCACTTCAGATTTGTGTCACATCCCACGTTTCTACAGAAAAGCCTCAAGTATGAATTAGGCCAATATGTTCATTACTGATTAATGTCAATCCCTGATACCTTCTTTGCCTTTTTTTCTATATGTTAAATAGATCATCTCAAGCTATCAATGTAAATATTCATTTTCACTAAATTTCTGGCATAAATTCTAAAACAAACGATTAACCTAAGTTTTAAAAATTAGTTCCAGTCTTTAACTTCATTGATAAAAAAGTTTGCCAAATTAACTTTTACTTGCTGAAAAAAAAAAAAACAGTAAAGATTCACTTAAAATTAGGTCAGCTGGACTGATAAAGCACCTTTCAATATCTAACATTTATTGAAGCAACACAAGGAATTGGTTATAATATAAAAATGAGTAACACATGATCCACAACCTCAAAAAAAAGTTAGCTTTAAAAATTCAAGTCTGTCTCCTACATATCACAATAACAAACATTTCATTCATAATGCTTTTTGCAAAGCTCTTACTACTCTTCCTGTTCCTCCTCTTTAACATAAGCTTGATTTTTTTTAACCATACACAATCTATTAACTCCCACATCCTACTGGTTTACTGCTTTTAATCTTATCTATACTAATAAATACTATCTTTTTGAAGTTTTGCCAGGATCAGAGGTATACATTTTCATGCTTTCAATTGCCAAATGCAAAGAGTGGGTATTTAGCATATAACTTTGGTAAATGTAACAAAGTGATAATGATACCCGGTTTAGCTACTGCCAAGTACATAGGAAGTAATTTTTTAAAGAAAGTTTTGCCACACTGATCTGTTCAGATCATTTTTACCCTGCACTTACAGCTGAAAGTAAGAACAACTGATAAATAATAACCACTTTGCCTCCTGTTTTACACAAATCAAAATGTGACCACTGCTTAACATTTAAAACTTCATTTATTTTCTATACCTGATTTAGAAGGCAAAAAAAAATCAGTGACTCTAAGAACTGTAAAAAAATATATATATATACACTGAGTTCACAACTTAAGTAAACTATTAAAAATTTCCATAGGCTGAAAGAGCTACAACAGCAACAAGGATAAACCTCAATGTTAAGCAAAAGGGACCAACACAAAAGAGTCCATACTGTATGATTTCAATTTTGTAAAGTGTAAAACAGGAGAAACTAATTCATTCTGTTCGCCGTGAGGATAGTGTTTCTCCTTGGGAATGGCAGTGACAAGAAAGGCACGAGGAGGGTTTCTGGGATGCAGGTTAATGTGATTTCTTGATTTGGGTGCTGCTTACATGGGTATGTTCAGGTTTTAAAAACCCACTGACGTGTACATCTATGGTAAACATTTTCTGTGTGTATGTTAGACTTATATAAGGTCTTTTAAAAACTCTCCATAAACTTTTAATTGTAATAGAAATGTCAAGGGGGTCCTTTGATTGTCGTGGAAAGACCAGACTACGCTTTACAGTCTTCAATCAATCACTTAAAATCTCCGAATTCGTCTTTTCATCTATCACATCCCAGGATCGGTATGAGAAATTAAATTCATTTCATTTATTCAAAAATTTATTGTGCACCTACCACTGCCTTCTAGGTAATGGGATTAACAGCAGTGAACGAAGACAATCCCTGCACTGATACTGTCTCTATCCTACTGATAGATAGCGGATACAGACAATAAACAAAATAAATATATAACATACATATCACCTCCTATGGTGACAGGTCTTAGACAATTACACAGGATAGAGGAATTACGGCAGTTGTAATTTTAAGTAAGGAGGTCACCAAAGGCCTCAATAAAACAATGACACTTAAGCAAAGACCTGACTGAAGTAGGCGAGATAGGCAATACCAGGAGTAAGTATATTCAAAGAATAGAAATGATATAACATATTGAACCTGAAAATCCACAAATGCTAGTTAGAATTAGTTTGGGTTTTACAGAAAATGATAAATCATAAGACGGGCCTTAAAAACTGCCTCAAATCGAAGCACTAAGATTAGTAGTAATTTGGATTTTGGTATGGTTATTTTCTCTCCCATCACTAACTGAATAACGTTCCAAAACGTGGGGCAACTAAGGGAACTTCTGTGACGGTGCAGCAAAAAAGGGATAACCGACAGTTTTTTTAAGTAGATGTACCGTCTTACAGCGAATAACTTCCGTCATGGCACTAGAGACACCGATGCATACCCACCCAGCACGTTGTCTAATGCACCACTAGGCCTCGGGAATTTCAGAAATTGGTCCAGAAAAACACAACGTTCTCTTTCTTTTTCTGTTGATGGGTTCAGCACTTTTACTTCCTCTACAAAAAATTTCATTCCACGGAATCCTCCTCAATCGTGCACACATGACACACCGTGACAGGAGCAGAGATCCGGCGCTCTCGCTTAAGGGACAGAGAAACGTCCCTGTGTGGACGGGGTCAGCAGCCCTAGCGTCCTGCTGCGTGGCTGGCCGCTGCATCCTTGGACGTCGACAGTGCCCAGTGTGGGGCAGTCGTAGCACGCGAAGTCGCACGAACCTACCTGGCACTGGGTCGCATACCGGAGGCCAGCTTTTTCCCACCGTAATGTTGAGGGCGGAGGCGTAGGACGCGCCAAAATCTGCAAAGGCCTCACCTCACGGCACTACCTCGGCGGCACCTGATAACTCCACGAAGGAACGAGATCGCCGCTCTTCACCACTTCCGGCAGTGCACCACTCAAATGCCGCCTGCCAGCAACTTCCGCCCTTCTACCTAAAAGCGGACAACAGAAGCTCGGAACGCGTGCGTCGCGCTCTCTCAGGAGTCGGTCGTTTTAGAAGGGTTCCTTTCCTGTTGCGGGTTGCGTGGAGTTGCCTCGTGGGTCTCTGGGACCCGAAAATTAAGAGCTTCTCTGTGCCCCGGCGACTGCACCAGGCGGCTCGGCGGCCGTCACCATGGTGAGAAGGTTGCTTCGGGTGCTCAGGACGTGGGGCGTCTGAGTTGGTGGTGCCTGTGGGCCCAGGGGCACGGAGGCTGGAGGGGTGACAGGCGGAAATGAGGTACTGCTGAAGGGAATGAGGGTAGATTCCGCGGAGTGGGCTCCATGGAGTGAAAAAATCTCCAACTGGGGGACACAGTGGAGTATAATTCTGGTGATGTTACTGAAATACCAGATTACTGATACTCAGAAAAAGAGATCCTGGAATCAGATCATCTCTTGTGTAGTCCAGTGGATTTCGGACAGTACCCGTCAATGAACAGTAACTTTCACTGAAATTTTTTACAGATCAGATCCCAAAGCCTCATGTTATGCAGAATCAAAATTTAACTTACACTATGTGAACAGGCTTAATAGTGCAAGAGTCACTGAAGCAAGTGAACATTTGGATGATATAGGGCCTTTATATACTGCTTTAAAAAATATTTGAGTAATTCTGTCAGTTTTTAAATTAAAGGCAACTTTTTTACATTATGTGACAGCCACAAAACGAACATATTGAGTTACACCGTAAACGCTATGGATATCGTTTGGATTACCATGAGAAAAAGAGGAAGAAGGAAGGTCGAGAGGCTCATGAACGTTCAAAGAAGGCAAAAAAGATGATCGGTCTGAAAGCTAAGCTCTACCATAAACAGCGTCATGCTGAGAAAATACAAATGAAAAAGACGTAAGTGATCATTTGTTGCTCAATATGTAACATTACTCAAAATGAAATCTTTTTTGAATAATAGTTTTAAAACTGATAATCTTGAATCTTTTTCCTCCTTGGTAGTATCAAGATGCATGAAAAGAGAAACACCAAACAAAAGAATGATGAAAAGACTCCACAAGGAGCAGTACCTGCGTATCTTCTGGACAGAGAAGGACAGTCCCGAGCTAAAGTACTTTCCAATATGATTAAACAAAAACGAAAAGAGAAAGCGGTAAGCAATACAAATTTAAGTCTTAATTTCTTTTGTTAGGGAGAATTAAGTTCAGATGTAGTTTGTTTCTTCGGTTTAATTGGAAACATGAAGTCCACCTACTATTTCCATTATTTAGATGTTGTTATAGTCTTTGTAAATTTCATTTTGTATAAAATGAGTAATAAAAAATTTGCTTTCTCATCACCAGAACATTTTAGCATGTAACAGGGTTTTTTCAACTTTTTAGAATGCCACACATCTTTAGTTTTAAAATATTATTTAAAAATACAAACAGTGAGAAAGCAGAAAATACTCAATCTCAAATTCAGTATTTTTATGGCTTCTTCTACTAGACAGCTAAAGCTGTGTTGTCGTGGAGAAAGACACAAACTGCTCTTTGTTTTTGCTGCCCTGGAGAGCCAAAACTGGTTAAAAAGCACAGTAGTGGAAAACACCTTAAACGATTTGACTTAAAACCTCAACAGTTTTTAAAAATATTCCTGGATTGCACTGGGTGTCAAATTAACTTCTGCTAAAAAGAGAAAAGGTATAGATGCTGTTTTTAAAACACCCCTGGATAGATTGACAGAAACCCAGGCAACTGCTAAATACGTAGTATCTATATTAAAGAACTTAGTCTTGAAATTTGATTTCAAAAATCTTACTGCTAGTTTTTTGGTATTTAATTATCCAAAATTAGAATGGGAGAACTTGAGCACCAAAAGTAACTTTAGAGATTATCTACTTAACCCCTCCTCATCTTACAGATAAAGAGACCATGAGGTTGTTTATCGTTCTTCATGGTCATATATCTATGAAATGGTAGAGCTCTTCTAGAATTTATGTCTTAGTAATATATCTTAGTAATAAGTTTCTTCCTACTGGCCTTGTATTGCTTCAGTTTTTTCCTAGAATTTGTACGAGGTACAAAATATCTGGTGATGATTTTTTTGTCTGATAATGTAATCTAAAAATCTCTTTGGGGTAGAAATACAAAGATATATTCAGAGGTGGAGAAAGTCTTCCAGTTTACACTAATTAGTAGTAAACACATATACTGCTTACAGAAATCACCGCCTTATCACAGGTAGTATTTTTTAATATTTTTCATCCATAATAAGGCATTAAGATTTTTAGCTTTAGCAAACTATTTTATTTAATGTACCCATGATATGTAAACTTTAGTTCTAATTAATTTGGGGCTTGTGAGGAGATACAGTATAGACCTCTTGAAAACACCTCAGCCAAAATCTTGTTGGTTAAGGAAAAAAAAGTAAATCTACATTGTACAATTAAAACACCTTTTACTTTTCATAATCTTTTACTAACCACATAAATTTTAACTGTGGTCTATTTTTAGGGAAAATGGGAAGTCCCTCTGCCCAAAGTTCGTGCCCAGGGAGAAACAGAAGTATTAAAGGTTATTCGAACAGGAAAGAGAAAGAAAAAGGCATGGAAAAGGATGGTTACTAAAGTCTGCTTTGTTGGAGATGGCTTTACTCGAAAACCACCTAAATATGAAAGATTCATTAGGCCAATGGTAAGTCCCTTCAAGTATGATGACTTAAATATTAGTTCCTGTGTTAAATGAGATAAAATACATTACAATCTCCTGAAATTACTAAAATTGATAAGAAAACCAGGTTGAAAGATGTTTTTATGCTATTTTTGTTAATGAATCCTGACTTTTAAATATGACATACTAGGATCTTCATTTTCTATATGAAGTCATTTTACTCATTCAACAAATGATCTATATCCCTCACACTTGCTTTGAGAATAGTTAGAAAACTTGAGTAGGCCTTTTTCAAAAGATCAATTTTAGTTTAGTAAGGGAAGTATCTTAATGTTTTTGAAAACATTCAAAATTGCAATCATTGAAAAAAGGGAACTTAATATAAAAGTAGGACCTAATTTCTGTTGACAGCAGTGATAGGACCAATCTCCTTTCCCAAATATAACTGAAGATGGAATTTTGCAAAATCCCTTTAAATAAACAATTACTTTCCCAACTGGATATCCAGCCTGCTTAGAAAAACAAAGAATCAGAGAAGAAAGTTGACAGTCTAAGTCTAGCTCTCAACCTGAGTAATTTTTAATGGATTAAAATACTGTCAAACAGCTTGTTTCTGTAAATAAAGTTCTATTGAAACTCAGCCATACCCCATTCATTTACTTACTATCTATGGCTATTTTTTTCTATAGTTTGAGTAGTTACAAGAGAGACCATATGGCCTGCAAAGTCTACAGTGTTCACTATTTGGTCATTTAAAACATTGACCCATCCCTGTATTACATCATGGATACCCCCCCCCTTATTTTGATTCCATATTCATAATCTAAATAGATTTTGGTAATCTTATGAGTTCTGTAGGAAGAGAATATACTAGTAAGGCTGCTTTAGGATTTCTGTAGCTTGGCAGGTTATTTCTTATTGTGAATTAATTAGATAGCATTCTGATATGTCTAAGTTCTTTCTAAGCTTGATTATTGAGTCTGTTACCAAGAACTTGATTTAATATCATTTGTCCCTACCCCCAAACAGGCAAATATCAAATTTAAGAGACTGCAAAGTATTAGAGCTTCTAAAGTGCTACACTCCAAACACTATATTCAGGTGATTGGGTGACTCTTGTCTCTGTAACAGACCTCTCTAGGCTTTCTCTGGTCTTGACCAGTGTGACCATCAACACAAAGAAAGCTGACGGCCCGCTTCCTTTTTCATCATGGAAGGTAGCTGAGGTAAATAAAGACTTAGAATCAGGATAATTAAGTTTGAGTCCATCCACACACCATACAACTTGGAAATAAGTTGTTTAACCTGTCAATCCTTGTTTTATCATTTTAAAAAACAATGGGAGTTTAAGGTTGTGTTTAAATGAGCTACTTGTGAGCTGTAACACAGTGCCTGGCATGTATCAAGTCCTAAGTGTCTACACTAATTAGTCTTAATTAGACAAAGGAAAATCTGAGTGTGATGCTAAGTAATAGTTCCATGGTAAAAATTTAAGGAGTACATGTTTGGTGTTTTCCCCACATATGTATCCCATAACTATCAGGTTTCTAGCCTACAGAATTAATTGTAAGTATTGTATTTGATGCCTTATGATTTGATATTGTTCAGTCATGCCTCTTTGGAGGCAACTGGGAAAAATAAGCAAAAAGGACCATTACTCATTGTTAATATTTTAGTTTCAAAACATTTTGTGTTTTAGGGTTTACGTTTCAAGAAGGCCCATGTAACACATCCTGAACTGAAAGCCACCTTTTGCCTGCCAATACTTAGTGTAAAGAAGAATCCCTCATCTCCACTATATACAACTTTGGGTGTTATTACCAAAGGTACTGTCATTGAGGTGAATGTAAGCGAGTTGGGCCTTGTGACACAAGGAGGCAAGGTTATTTGGGGTAAGTAAATTTTTGAATATGAGGCTGCTGTTAGAATCATAAAATAGAAAATTTCAAGTAAAGGACATAAAGTACATAGCTAATGTTAATGCAGAAAAGCTAGATAACTGAAAACTTGATGTAAGTCAAATTTAAATCTTTATAAGGAATACTATTTGTAGGAAAAAAGTTAAGCATGCAATTCTTTTTAATTTACCTAATTGGTTTCAGTTACATAAAGTGTACTATGTAATTTTGTGTGAATTTTGATGGTATTTAAAAAGGCATTAATTATGAGGGAAGCAGATGCAGTTATGATTAGAACTAAAGTATACTGGAAGAAAATATAATAAATTAACCATGAGCAGGGGAAGGGAGGTATGTATTAAACACATAACCACACTATTTCAGTAATTAAAAGCTA